AGCAACTTTACTTTCCATCATTAGTTTTGCAAATATCCTTGAGATATCCTCTTTTTATTTTTTTAAGGTATTAATTTTGTTCTGAGTATATCTAATTTCCCGCATCAACTCACTAAAGTTCCCATTCCTCCATAACGTAATTCGTCTCACTAAACATTCTGCATGTTCTTTGGCTTTGGACCATGTTGAGGGCTTTTGTAGCATAAGTGAAGGAATTATCATGAAGCATTTTAAGGCTATTCAATTCAATTTTTTTCGATTATTAAATTGCTATAGCCAGAAGGTCAATTCTTCTATAAACATTTTACCAGCCTTTCCTGATGTTACTTTGAAAACTTTTTTATGGTAAAAATGCTATCTCATCTTATACAGTTTTGACATAATTGATAAGTGAGCTAAGCGGAATATATGACCCCATCGATGGTCATCGATGGTCATCGATGGGATCTATATTAGATACAAAAGTATTTATTTTGGGTAAGTAGGGTGTGTTGGTTGAATAGTGTTTTACAGATATCTCACTGCAGTTTAATATCGTATCGATTTCGACTTTGTTTCTATTTGCTATGGTTAAATCATTGTTAACTACATTTTTTATTTGTTTAATTGTAATTGGAAAAAGGATTTTATATCAAACTTTATGAATCTTTAGTTCCTTAAGTGTAGTAAAGCTAGGAGCACATCTCCTGCATTTAGAAACCATGCTAATTAAAGATTTTCTTCTACTGAATAGCAGTTTCAAAATTGGAACTGGCAAAGTGCGCCGAATAAATTTGCAAACATTGGCATAATTGCGAAATGACATAACTGCGAAGCAGTTGCAAAAACTAGCATAAGTGTGAATTGACATAGGGCAAACTGACCAATTAATGGCCACATCTTTTTTTAAAGGCACTCTGAACACAGTAATATTGTCAGATTTAAATTTTTTTTTGCTATACTTAATAATAGACATTCTTTTAATTTATTTTGAGTAATTGTTACCAAAATATAAAAAAACAACAATGTAAACAATTCATTTGAATTAAAATTTTGAATAAACACCAATTAATGGCCGGGTTGACTAATTATGAGCCAGTTCACTTTTTATTGAAATATTAGATTCTACTAACTTTGCCACAGGTTAAAATGTTGTGAAAATAATTTAATTTTAATAAGATTTATAATGAATAAAAAAAAAAGGCTTTAAAATGTAAATAATCAATATAAACTAGTTAAATATTGATTATTAACTGTTACACATCAAATTTTTAAAATTTTTTAAACGTTATAATTACTCAATAATAACTAGCTTAGACATAAGTACCCCTTCAACAATGGTTAAAATAAATTATTTGTAAAACTGTATATTGATTCAAAGAAATTTTAACAATCAAAACTCAAGAAATACATCAAAAAGTACTAACAAAATTTGATAAAAAATATTAACTTGTTCACTTATTAATAACAAAATCAATATGTTTCAGTTGCCTTTTTAATTCTCTGTCCTGTTGCAGTTTTAATCTCTTTTCTTTTGCATCAAGTTGCTTCAATTTTTTTATTTTTGCAGCCTCAACTTTTTCCTCTTTCTTTTTTAGATCATTTAACTTGGCTTGCATAGCTTCAGGAGAAGTTAGAACAAAATACTTTTGTTTAGTATTTCTATTGTTTTTTGACTTATTGACATGAAAATTTGGGTAAGAGATAACATCATGATCATTGTCAATGGTGCTTTTCAGTGAATCTGTTTTAACAGATATTGGACTATAATAATAATCAACACTAGTATTTGGTATAGAGACAGAGTGAATATCAGTTTCTTCTGATAAAGCAATTGTTTCAGCAGCTTCTCTTAATGAGAGATCAAAAGAAACATCACTGATTGCATTCTGGTTTATACGAAAGTCTTTGTATGCTAAATACAAATTGTCAGAAATATCAAAACCATTTTGATAACAGAAATTAAAAGCAGTCAGATGCTCTGGAGTTAAACAACTATTCCATAACATTAATGCTGTGTCATTATCCAGCTGAGCTAAATCTACATTCAGAATATCTGATCCAGTCAAGATGCCTATAGTTTCAGTTGTATCAACATCATTAATAAAAGTACAATTTGAATAAAGATCCACCTGTTTTTCAAAAGCATTGTTTAGTGATATTCCAGATTGATAATTTATGGTATCATTTTTGAAGGAATCAAAACTTGATTTAAGCAAATTCTCATTCCCTAATAACTGGTCAGAGTAAAGTGATTTGGGCAAGTAGGCCTCATATGGAATTGCAGAAGGATTATAGGGAAAGATACCACATGATTGAAAACCAGAAATAATGTTAGTGGCAGTTAATGCTTGATCCCAAGCTTTCTTGAACAATCCACAGAAGTTAGACTTATTGATTGTAACAGAGTATGTATTCATTAAATCATGACAACAAGTATTGTAGTAAGTCTTCAAGGGACCAAATACAGTACGATCTAATGGCTGCAACCAGTGAGAACAATGTGCTGGCATCTCAACAATTTCAATGTTGTTGTCAATAGCAACAGATAATAACTCAACTGAATTGTGAGAATCATGACCATCAACTATTAATACCTAGGGCCTGTTAGTTCTAATGTTTGGCAAAAATGTATTTGTAAACCAAAGGTATGCTATTCCTTGTTTTGTCCATCCAGTCTCACTAACACTCCATTTTGAACCAACTGGTGCATCACTTGTATTAAAAGCTTGAAGTGATTTTATTGTTTTACCTTTTGGTATTAGATGTGGAGGTATAGTTTTACCAGCTGCATTCACAGCAACAATTACAGTGATGGTTTCCCTTTTTCCTGAAGTACGAGACTGAAGATGTTTGGCACCCCGTGCTGCAACAATTTTGGGTGGTTTAAAGTCTAATTGAAGTCCAGTCTCATCCATATTCCAAATTGAAGAAGGCATAACATGAGTACCCAACTTATTAAAAACTTGTTGAAGTGCTAAAAAATATTTAGAAACTTTTTGGACTGACATGCATTGATGTCGCACAGATGATGTTCCTTCAGGTTTTCTTAAAACCATAGTCTTATGTCGTTGTTTAAACAACCGCCACCATTTTTCTGATGGGGTATCATGTTTAAAATTTATCTGGTGTTTCTTACTAAGCTGTGAGACATATTTCATAAATTGTCTTTTCCCAAACCCAATACCGCGATTTGCTCTAGATGTGGCATAATCAACTAACTTTTTTTCTATATGATTTGGTAATTTTGGTGGAGGTCCAGGTTTAACTCCAATTAAGGAGTCTCCTCGAAGATATTTTCCTAGTGTTGCTCTGGGAATTTTATATTCAATAGCTGCTGATCTTTGTGATAATGAACTACTTTTAACTGCATTAATGGCATTTTGCATGTTAGTTTTTGACCATTGAAAACGTTTAATTTTCTTCATAATTTTGTTATTGCTAAAAAAAAATATACCAAAACAAATTCGACTATTGAAGAATATGTATACATTAATCGAATTAAATATAAGAATATTATATATATATATATATATATATATATATATATATATATATATATATATATATATATATATATATATATATATAAATATGTATATGTATATATATATAATATATATATATATATATATATATATATATATATATATATATATATATATATATATATATATATATGTATATGTATATATATATACATATTTATATATATACATATATAAATATGTATATGTATATATGTATATATATATATATATATATATATATATATATATATATATATATATATATATACATATATATATATATATATATATATATATATATATATATATATATATATATATATATATATATATATATATATATATATATATGATAATAATAATAACAATAATAATTTAAATCATTAAAGAACAGAGCATAATTACCTTAAGTAAGCTTAGTACTTAGGTTAAAATACTTTGCTTCTTTAATAGTCTGAGTTTTTCAGAGATATTGTTATTATTATATTGTTTTGTAACAGTCTTGTTTTACCTTACAAATGAAAGAAATAGGTATTTGAATAACTAAGTGAGTAAATTAAATAAATTTCTTAATATTATGTTTGTATTAGCACAAAAAATAACTAAGTTTACAATAAAAAATAAAAACAAACAAATAACATATAGGTAATATTGAAAAATTGTAATGGCTACAAATTGGTACATTATACGGCCAATAATTGGGCGATGTGAGTGGTGCTATACAAAGCCTTTCAAAATTCTAAAACTTATTGTTTGCAGTTCAACAAAGTGTTTAAAAGATAAATGTATGACTTAAATTTTAAAATAAACGTTCTTAAATAACTGAACTAAAAAAATGCATCATAAAAACTATTTTAAATATGTTTAAAAAATCCAAAACCGGCTACTTTTCTCCCCAAAAAAAGCGATATCTTTAACATAATATAAATATTCTATTTATAAACTGTAGCTTAAATATATATATTGCATATTGTTTATAGTACAAATAGCTGAAGAAAAAATCCAAATATTTGATCAACCTGTTTAAAAAATCTTTGAAAAGAGCCCTCAAAAAAGCGGCTCTTAATAGGACGTGGCCACTAATAGGTCAGTTTGCCCTAGGTGCGAAGCAGTTGCAAATATTGGCATAAGTGTGAACTGGCATAGATGCAAATTGGCATAAGTGCGCCAAAAGAATTCGTAAACATTGGCATAGGTGTGAGCTGGCATAAGTGAAAAATGCCTTAAAGTGTCATGTTTGTAACATTAAAAATCTAACGCAATTGCGCGTATGTTATATGTGTAATTAACAATTATACAAATAAATATAAAAATAATGTATATTTGCCTATTTTTGTCAATATATTATAATATATGAAAAAAAAGTTAAGGTTTAAAATGTTTACCATTGTTAATATAAAAGTTTTTAATAAAATAAAGAGTCAAAATATTGTTGTGAAAAAAAAATCGCTAAAAAAATTATTCTTTCAAAACATAAAATTATTTACTTACTTGAGCAATTGCCAAAGATAAAAAATTTAAAACATAAAAAAAAATTTGCATTTTTTTAGCTTCTTTAGTTTTTTAAATAAACTTTTAAAAAAGTTATATTGAAGTCTTATTGACAATTAAGTTTAAAAGTTATTAACAAAACAATAAGAAGTTTTATATTGAAATAAGGAAATAGTCTACATTTTAAGCTTATTAAAAGTAAATTGATATTGTTAAATTTATCCATAGCGATGTATCAAAATATATCAATATCAATCAGTGCCGCCGAGAGGGAAGGGGGTCGTGAGGGACAGTTTGTCCCGAGCGGCAGATATCCAAGGGGCGCCAAATGATATGTAGGTACCTAAAAAAAAAAAAAAAAGAAGTCCTTCATATATAACTTAGGGAAAATTTGATAAATAAGGGCGCCAATCAAGATTGCTGTCCCAGGTGGCGTGACAGCTCTCGGCGGCCCTGATATTAATTAGTTTAACTATTTTTAAATAATTTTTTGAAATACTATAAACTTCCGATATCTTGAACCCCTGACAATTCTAGCGTACCTTCGATTTCCTCTTAAACAATCACTATTGTTTCTAAATAATTAAAACCCACTCTCATAAAAATCACTCGATAACTCGAACTTATACTAATGTAAGTTCGAGTTATCGTGTGATTTGCTAGGTCAAAATCTAATATTGAAAGAGCTCGAATATTTGCAAAGTTGACTAACATTCTTCCGTTAACTCGAACTTAAAAATAAAAATAAAAACAAATTCTAAAAAAAACTTTTCTTTCATTAAGTTAAACTTTTTCCCCTCGAGCTAATTGCGCATCCGGTTTAAATGAATTTCTTCAAAAAATTTGAAGAAATTTATTTAAATCACGATAAAGGTTTTGCGTTGCAATGTAAAAAGTATTTATAGTTTGATATTATTAATATTTTTTACATTGTTTATAAGTTATACTAACATAAGTATACTAACATAGGGGAGACCGGGGCTAGTTGGCCGCAGGGGTAAGTTGACGAATTGCGTTTATCTTTAAAGCCTTTCATCAGAAAGTGATAAAAATTACACAGAATCTTCCTAATTGACTGTTTCATCATTCAATGTAGTATTGTCAGGATTCGCGCATGCGCATGGGAGATATTAAGATTTAAGTGTTTTTTGGACAAAAACGTAACTTTTGAAACATCGCTTCCTTTTTACTTTACAAAGAAAATAGTTAGTCAAATGGAAAAAAAATTATTGTAAAAGTTTTAGCCACAATTGGTTTACTATATTCAGTTTGACTTTTTTTAAAAGTTGCCGTTTTTCAGGATCTATAGACTGTTTATTGAAAAAAAAGCCTTCGGGGTAAGTTGACAAAATTTTTACGGGGTAAGTTGGCTCATAGCATTTACTATGGAGAAAAATATTTATTTTTATAAAAATAATTTTTTTAATTTTTTTAATTTTTAACAATATTGAAAAAACTTATTCTTACAAAAAAATTATAAAAATTTTTTTTTTAGGTTTTTTGTAACAGGTAAAAAGAGGGCTGCTGTTTTGGCTGTTATACGTACTAATATTTAGCACAAGCTAAAAATAATATCAAATTATTAGCTTAAATTGTTGCCAAAATTAATAGGTAAAAAATTTCTATTAATTTTGCACTTAATAGTACATTAATAATCACGTTTATAGTTTGCGTCAACTTACCCCGTGGTGGGGTAAGTTGGCGCAATTTTTTTTTTTTTTTTGAGGGCCCCGTAAGGCCCCAAGAATTTTTTTTTGTAAATCCATGAAACTTTTATAAGTTACCCAAGTTCATACGCTTTGAGACTACACTTTAATATTTTCAAAAAAGTGTGCTATTAGGGCTACAGAGCTCATAGAGTAAAAACCGAGCCAACTAGCCCCGGTCTCCCCTATACTAACATAACATATACTAACATATACTAACATAAGTTATACTAACGTTTTTACTATAATAATATATTAATATATATACAGTATATTATAATAAAAGTCGTTGCGTTTACATCTTACAATGGCTACTGTTGCTGTAAAAAGAAAAATTAACACAAAATCAATTAAAGAAAAGAACGCTGCTTTAAGGGAAATTGGAAAAGGATCGTTAAAGTCTCAGGTTACTATGAAATATGGCATTTAAAAATATACTCTGTCAACATGGATAAAAAATAAAGAAAATTTTTTTGAATCCATGAAGACACAAGGGAACAGTTAATACGTATGAGAATTAAAAAAATATATTTTAAGTTTTAGATAACCTCATTTTTAATAGGGAGTTTAGTCACGTGATTTTTTATCGCGGAAAAAAAACTTTCGGTTTGATATTGAAAAACTTCGTCCAAAATACGAACGAAATGATTTTATGTAGGTGTCGAAGAATAATATATAGATATAGTTATATACATTAATTATATACATATATATACATATAATTTTATACATTAATTATATACATATATATATTGATGTATTATTTTTCAAAAAAGGACGTAAAACATTTATTTATGTGATTCCGATAGTTTTCTCTTAAATTGAAAAAGTTATTCTCTTTTAAATGATTCAATTTTGTGTAAATACCAGTAAATTAAGATGGAATCACGTGAAAATAGGTTCTGCAGCTATTTATTTGTTATGTACATAACTTTTTGATTTAAAAAAAAAAGTTTATATAGGGTGGGTTTTTTGTTTTCTAATTGGAGTTTTTTAAATTTCCCCCGTCTTTAGACATAATCAAAATTTAATAAGGTAAATTTGCCGTTTTTCTTAAACAAGTAAAGTAATCTAAGAATTTTTTCACACATTTTCACACATGAATTTTATTTTTTATAACCCTGAAATTTTATTACATGTTTTTACTTACAGCATAATAAAGTGGGTTTATTTTTATGTTTTTGATGTTTTTGTTGCTAACCAATTAGTGATTTAATTACAACATTTTATCAGTAAGTCTTATTTTTATAAATTTTTATCGCATAATCTTAGGTGTTAAATGTGCCAAAAATCTTTTTTGTAAAACAAAAATAGAAGAAAGGAAAATGAAAAACTTGCCTTCGGAGGAATTATATCAAAATCTTCTTATTGTAAAAAAAAAAAATAAAAGAATTGATGGAAAAAATTCAGGATGCAATACTAAAAAAATTAATAGAGCACAAAAAAGTATTCCTTATCAAAATTTATTAACAATCCATCTGATTTTGTAGGTTTTTCTATACAACATCGTGTTAGAAAAAAAGATTCTCTTGAAGTATCTTGGAAATAGCACAAGTAGCACAATTAAGAATAGCACAAATAGCACATGGGAATAGCACAAATAGCACAAATGATCAATCAAACGCTAACGAACCATATACCTTGTTAAGTATGATAATGAACCTGATGAAGTATGGCCATTTCCTTTACTAATTGATTTTGAAAAAGGTGGTAATATTCTTTTTAGCTTAGATCATGAGGTAATATTATTTATTAAAACTTTAGAATTATGTTGTAGTATGTATTTATCTTGTTTCTTATGTTATTATGTTCCAATTATATGTTTTTACTGCATTTGAGTACAGTGGTTTTTATCTTTATAAATGGTATGAATCATATCTGATATATTTATATGTTTAATTTAAAGATATTTTTATAATATATATCAATATTTTTATCTTTATGCTTAACTGGACATTTTTATAAATATTAAAATTAAATTACCATAAAAAAATCTTTACATGAACTGCCTACCAAATAAAGTAAGGAATCCAGAAATGGAGGGCTAACTATAGGCTGAGTTACTATTACTTATACATAAACTGCCAATCAAATAAACAAAACAATCTAAAAATGGAAACCTTTGACAAAATAACAGCTCACTGATGGAGTGCAAAGTCCTATGGCTTACCTTCTCGTTGGTGCACTTCGTTAAGTAAGTTATACAATTTCGTCTAACTTATGAACGGAATAGCCAAGGCAAATTTTGTATAAAATTGTTTGAATTATCTATCTATCTATCTATCTATCTATATATATATATATATATATATATATATATATATATATATATATATATATATATATATATATATATATATATATATATATATATATATATATATATATATACATATATATATATATATATATATATATATATATATATATATATATATATATATATATATATATATATATATATATATATATATATATATACATATACATATATATATATATATATATATATATATATATATATATATATATATATATATATATATATATATATATATATATATATATATATATATATATATATATATATATATATATATATATATATATATATATATATATATATATATATATATATATATATATATATATATATATATATAGTATATATATATAATTTTTTTAAAATTTTAATAAAAACTTAAAGAAACATTCAAAGCTGCGCTCTATCCTTTTTTAATAGTAAGTTACTCTTATTTTAGGGTAGTTTAACCGCTTAGAGTCTAAATAACAGGCTCTAAGCTGTTAAACTTCTTTTTGAACCTATGATTTAACTGAAATTATTAAAAATTGTTGACTAATTTTTTTTTTGTGTGAGAATAAATTTTAGATTCATCTTTATTTTGTACGTATTTCAACGTTTTCACCTGTTTAGTTTGGGGCCCTTGATATTTTATGAACCAGAATCATGCATTGAATATGCATAGAACATTTTAAAAGTAACTTTTAATAGGTTTATAAAACCTTTTAACAAAAAAAGCAAAAAAAAAACGTATTAAACATATTTTGACATCATATTAATTTGTAATTCTGGTTCATTATCTAAGTCAAATAATAAAAAAAAGCACCCATGAAAATTTCAGGTTTGCATATGGTCCCAATCTAAAAGTTTTGAGATAAATACAAAAAATAAAGAAAAGGTTTGTTATATTACAAAAGAAGCATGACCCAATTAAATACTTCCACTTAACTATAAAGCACATAATAAATAAGAAGCTGTAGAAATATTAATGCTTAGAAGTTTGAACGAGTTGAAACTTGCTTGTTTAAAAATCCGTTGCTATGG